TTTGATTGTAATATATCAACTGACTGAGAAATCAAGTGTTGTTGGATCTATATGTATGAACGGGTCCCTGTTTCATTGTCCTGTTTAAAGAAATATTACATTATTGGGCTTGGTATGTTAAAGAAGCAGAATATTTTTGAGCCTGACTGTAGCTCAGACTTTCACAACTTATTTTTGACACAGTAACTCCATGTTCTCTTTCTAGCAGCCTATACATTGCCCTTTTTCCTGAAATGACATTTGTATGATGCATACACTGCTGCATTCTCCTACATTAGAATGGAACTATTTCAGAATGCCTGGCTATGAATTCTGTATAGGCAGCTGATCTTCCATGACAACAAGCTTGCCTTCAACACTTGCCATCTGGTGTTACATGTTTGTCTCTGCATCACTTATTCTAGCTACCTCATTTGTGTTCAGTATGAAGTATTAGTCATTCTCTTTACACTTTGACTTCAGCATCTCTGTGGCATTTCTCCTATTGCTCATCAGAAGGATTGAGTTACAAAGCATACACATTTGTTAAATAATTAGGTAGTGTGGTTGTATGTGCCAAAACATGCTGAGAATCCTAATAATAAAATAAATAAAGCTCAGAGTTTTTGTCTAGTATGAAATCCAGATTGATAACCTCACGATTTCTATTTATTATGCTCACCAGCAAATATTTACATGTCTGTATTCTCTAGTATCAAAAGAAGGGTTTCGATGGTTAAAAACAGGATTTACCCTTAGTCTGATATGTACTTGTTGTTGTTTCATTGTTACGTCATGTCCGACTCTTTGTGACCCCATGGACCAGAGCACGCCAGGCCCTCCTGTCCTCCACTGCCTCCCGGAGTAGGGTCAAATTCATGTTGGTAGCTTTGGTGACACTGTCCAACCACCTTGTCCTCTGTCGTCCCCTTCTCCTCTTTCCTTCACACATTCCTAACATCAGGGTCTTTTCCAGGGAGTCTTCTCTTCTCATGAGATGGCCAAAGTATTGGAGCCTCAGCTTCAGGATCTGTCCTACCAGTGAGGACTCAGGGTTGATTTCCTTCAAAATGGATAGGTTTGTTCTCTTTGCAGTTCAGGGGACTCTCAAGAGTCTCCTCCAGCACCACAATTCAAAAGCATCAATTCTTTGGCAGTCAGCCTTCTTTATGGTCCAGCTCTCACTTCTGTACATTGCTACTGGAAAAACCATAGCTTTGACTATGCAGACCTTTGTTGGCAAGGTGATGTCTCTGCTTTTGAGATGTTGTCTAGGTTTGTCATCACTTTTCTCCCAAGAAGGTAGGTTTAAAACATACATGAGGATTACTTTATATCTCTACTGAGAAGTAAATCTCATTAATTTATTGGGACTTTATTGTAGTTAAGGCCTGAAAAATCACACACAGTCAAGATGGGGTGAATCACACAATCCTGGGAATACTTAAAAATAGGATCTGTCAATCAAATAATGATTTAGAATCTGTAAACAGTATGTTTTTCTGAGTGATTTTTTTTAACATGTAAACGTGTTTACATATTTCAAAGATTTATATAAGTTGAACTTTTTCATTTTTGCCACTGCTAAGTATAGAGATTCTTTGCTTTTCTGAGGCCCTATAACCTATACTTAAAGCTGTTTTGTCTTGTTTAGTAGTTGGAGCTATTGTGATGCATATCATCTAAAACAATGAAACAATAGTGGCTGATGTTGTTTTCTATAAACCATCTAAACGGTCTAGTTAATGTAACAATTAGTCACAGAAAATACTTGTAATGTCATCTATTCTATTCTGAGATTGCATTGTATTTATATTTCCAGAAAAATGCAATGAACTGAGGTAATTACAATTATACTTGGAAGTACCTGAGATTTAACGCATGAGATTCTTTGTAATAAAATGAATACTAAGAATTCTTGTGGATCTGTAGGCTGCTGTGTAAACAGTCAATAGTAAAATGCCCATGATTCTTAAAAATAATTGCTATATGGTAGTTAACAGTTCTGTATCTTTTCAGAAGTATTTAAACATAATCAGTGTAGCTGAACATTTATGAATTTGGAGAACCGGGCTTTTAGATGCATGTTCTTCCAACTAGGCTTGTCTATACAGACTTATTTGATCGGGCTGGATCAGACTACAATTTGTAGAGGTTGAGTTGCAGGTCTAGTATGCCATTTGATATGATCCTTGTATCCAAATGGCATGTGCCTTGGGAGTGACCCTACTGTACATCATGTGAAAGGCTGGACTGGATGAATCCCAAGCTGGAATTAAGATTGCCGGAAGAAATATCAATAACCTCCAATATGCAGACTATACCACTCTGATGGCAGAAAGTGAGGAGGAATTAAAGAACCGCTTAATTAGGGTGAAAGATGAGAGCACAAAAATAGTCTGAAGATTAACATCCAAAAAACTAAGATCATGGCCACTGGTCCCATCACCTCCTGGCAAATAGAAGGGGAAGATATGGAGGCAGTGACAGATTTTACTTTCCTGGGCTCCATGATCACTGCAGATGGTGACAGCAGCCACGAAATTAAAAGATGCCTGGTGATTGCCGAAGAATTGATAATTTCGAATTGTGGTGCTGGAGGAGGCTCTTGAGATTCCCCTGGACTGCAAGGAGATCCAAGCTATCCATTCTGAAGGAAACCAACCATGAGTGCTCACTGGAAGGACAGATCCTGAAACTGAGGCTCCAATACTTTGGCCATCTCATGATTTATAAGTTATGTCAAATTTATGTTGGTAGCTTCAATGACTTTGTCAAACCATCTCATCCTCTGTTGTCCCCTTCTCCTCTTGCCTTCACACTTTCCCAACATCACAGTCTTTTTCAGGGAGTCTTCTCATGAGATGAGAAGACTCCCTGAAAAAGACTGTGATGTTGGGAAAGTGTGAAGGCAAGAGGAGAAGGGGATGACAGAGGACAAGATGGTTGAATTGTGTAATTGAAGCTACCAACATGAATTTAACATAACTCCGTGAGGCAGTGGAATACAGGAGGGCCTGGCGTGCTCTGGTCCATGGGGTCATGAAGAGTCGGACATTACGTAATGACTAAACAACAACAAAATGCTTCTAAAGAAAAATTACATTTGCTTTTGAATTATGAATACATATATCACAAGAGGAGGAGTTTTAGAAGTTTCCAGTCTTGGTCATAACAGAGGGAAGAATGTCAAATAAGCGAAACAGTACATCATTGCCTCCCTAATGC